AAAGATCCACTAAGCACTGAGAAGAACCCATCCCCACCTATATTCAGAATATGGTGAAACAATATGGGTGTTTTAATGATTCTTACATTTCTACATTAGATATGTCCAAATCTTGGCAACTACTCTTGGCAATGCTTGGCAAGTGGTTGATCCTTATTTAACTTCTAAACTTTGACAAAAGCATCTGGGTGAGATTGGTTCTCTGTGCTATATCAAAGCCTTTACTGACATCTAGTGGAAATCTTAATAAGCCACAAATTTATGCCCACAAATTTACCTTGAATTGTTTGGATTTACCGAGATGATAATAAAATATCTGCATGGTACTTTAGGAAGGTTATTTTGAAACAGTAAACCTCTAAATGGCAGCAGTTTACGTTATAGACAGTCTGTCTTTGTATGTATCCATAAATATTACTATCTATCTATCTTAATCTTAGGGGCTTTTATCGTTTCACCAGGAGACTTCCGGCTGCTGTGCGCACTATATAAGTGACGAAAGCGCTTTTCCGGTCCTCTCGCATGCCTCTCTGAATCAAGATGGTGAGTTTGCCGATCGTTCAGACAGAGGCCAGTCTTTGAGCGCGTGATTATAACGACGACTTTTGTTCCCCAGCGGTTCTACAGTCCGGAGTAATTTCTTTCCTTGTACAGCTAAACACTAACTTATTCACTTTTGTTCATATTAAGTCAATAAAGCGATCCTTAGAAGCGTAACGCATGTACAGTGCAGCACGTAATAAGCTTTTATAAGCCATAAACTTTTATCTGCCGATGTTACCATCCAGCACGCGGTAACGTCTAATGATCTGATTCTTTGTTTTAAAAGCTCGGATAAGTAATGAATATTTTCAATCTCTCTAGACTATTCATATGCCCATTAACGTACTTTATACACTACATGTATTATAACAATAAAGTACATTAACAAATACAGTCGAGTAAAAGACACAGAGACTTGGGTTACAATTAGATTTTAACTTAAAAATCATAACTCCAACATCTTTTGTGAGATCATGTCCACAAGGTTGTCATTTGTAAACCAGCAGTGCGGACTGTATTTCTTAATCTCCTAGACTAAGAAGAGGAGGAATAATGGTCGTGCCAAGAAGGGACGTGGACATGTCCAGCCCATCCGCTGCACAAACTGTGCCCGGTGTGTCCCCAAGGACAAAGCCATCAAGAAGTTTGTCATCAGAAATATTGTGGAGGCTGCAGCTATAAGGGACATCTCTGAAGCCAGTGTGTTTGACTGTGAGTAACTACGCTTGCTTTAGAAAGTATCGGCTTCTTGGGGAGAGATAACAATTAGGGGTTTGCTGAAACATTTACCGAAGTTGTTCCTTTGTCTTTCTACAGCCTACGTTTTGCCCAAACTGTATGTGAAGTTGCACTACTGTGTCAGCTGTGCCATCCACAGCAAAGTGGTGAGGAACCGCTCTCACGAGGCCAGGAAGGACCGGACCCCTCCTCCACGCTTTAGGCCCACTGTAAGTCATACCTCCACATCCACTCTGAATAAGAACATAAACATACATGTGCTTGATAGCTGTCAGAATTAAATGATGAAACATACTATTTTGTCAATATATAATAGTTTACTGATGTCGTTTCCTTTCAGGGTGGTGCCCCTAGAGTCCCTCCAAAACCAATGTGATTGGAGATATTTGCATACATTTTTATGTAAGGAAATAAAGCGGACTAAAATTACAAGCGTGTTCTTTTGTCTGTTCACTCACGAATTAAAAATGTTGCTTTTCTTCATGTACTTGGAAGTTTGGTTGTATTCTGAGAAAGATTACACAGGGAAAATAAAACCGCTTAATGTTATAGTTGTATGAACTAGACCTTGCATTTAATTTCCCCCCCCAATTCTACATATAGGGCAAAATTGTTTAAAACATGAATGTAGAAGTGCATTTTGAAAAGGAAATTGTCAAATATATTGGTAACATTTTACAATTTGATAGTTAACGAGATCTCAATGGTTATGTCAACATTTACTAACACTGTTTTCAAATCAAAAGTTGTATCTGTTAACATTAAAGCGGTGTGAACAAAGACCATTGTTTTTATTAAA